GATTTGAACCGCTGAACTGCTGATCTAGCAGTAGCCTGCAGTGCTGCATTTAACCACTGCGCCACCTTGGCCCTTGGAGCGCATCCTGAACCTGCTTTCTCTGCCGGAAACGGAGCTTTGGAGCCTTGCATAAACTCTGCAACTTCAGCCTTTCTTTTAGTGGGAAGGGAGGCCGTCCATTGAAGGTGGGGTCAACCTTTCAGTGCCCAGGAAGGAGCTGGTCTAGGCCAGAGGTCCTTTCCCATTGAGGTTTCGGAGGCTGAAGGCTTCCCCAGTGTCTGTCACGGAAAGCGCCAGGATTGCAAAGAGGAGCCCTTTGCGGAAGGGAATCCTTGACCCTAGGGGTCAAGGGGCTGCCTGGGGAAGGGGCCCTTGCCTGACTCCTATCAAGACTTGCGTTGGGGCAGCCATTGGAGATGGGTTGGGTTCCGCTCTGGGGCATAATGGGGTCCGGGCAGCTGGAACCCCCTGCGTCGGTTGCTCCTTTTTAAGGGCTTGGCACTAAATTCTTGACGGGACCCCTCAATCTGCCCAGCCAGGGCAGTTGCCTTCCTCTTGGTGAGGCTCTTCTTCAGATGGTCCTCTGTGAAGCCCAGCTTTCCTCCAGCGATCCTGCACCGTTGCTTGGAGATTTTGTAGAGGAGAACGGTTGGTTATGGCTTCACGGCCAACTTGGTTCTGTGCTCAGTCCTACCCCCCCCACCCCCCGAGGCTCTTCCGGTTCAAGGCTGCTCCCTGGGACGTGTTCCCCGTCTTTAAGAGGCAGTTGTGGATTCTGTTGCCTCTTCTGATGCTGTTGGTCCACCTTACAGGGCCCTGATATGTACGTTTTATTGCGCATTCTCATTTCGGTGCTGCTGCCTGGGGCGAGCTTTCCAGGGACCGAGTGGGTTTGGGAGGTGGCAAAATGATGCACTGATAAATAAGCAGCTCTTAAAATGGCAGAGAAGGGCTCTGGTGAACAACAATGCGCGGGAGGGAAGATTTATTCCGTGAAGCTGCTGCAGAAAATCCCGGCCCCCCTCGCTTCCCCACTGCTTGCAAAGGCGCCCCCTCCTCAAGGGCAGAGACTCTGGCCGGGTGGGCCGCGAATGTTGTAGACCCCACTGGCAAAATCCTTTGCCTCGTAGCATCCGATGGTGCCCGAGGGGCAGAGAAAGGCTGTCCGGCCTGCAGTGCCCTCAAGGGCGGCTCCATTGTCTTCCCGGCTGCCAAGGCCACAAAGAGACCCCCGTTTCTCAGCTGTGCTGCCCTCACGCTGTGCCTTCACAGTGCCTTTCGTGCCAGAGGGCTCTGAGAGGTGGGGCTGATGCATGGTGGGCATTTCACGTAGCTGTGCCAATAACATTTCCAGGGATTCCGCTCTGGTATCTTCATCAGTTCCCTGCTCGTGGGGTGCTCTGCCTCTCAGGCATCCGGCTGTCTCCCAAAGGGCCTCCGGGGCCCCTTTTCTGCCGGCTGCCGAGCCCAGCTTCGTGCCCTTCCTCCTGCAGGCCCAGGAGCAGGAGCGGCTGCAGAATTTCCAGCAGCTGTGCCAGCTGGAGGAAGAGGCCCTGGTGCCCAACCAGCAGGAGATGGAGTGCCGGATCTGCTACCTGAAGGTGGAGCCGGGCAAAGGGGTGCTGCTGAGGGAGTGTCTGCACAGCTTCTGCAGGTGAGGAGCCTCACCGGGAGGAGGGGGAGGAGGAGGGCGGCAGGGCTGGGCCTCCTCCCCTTCAGCCGCTCTCTGAGCCGCCTTCTCCCTCCACAGAGCCTGCCTGCGCCAGGTGGTCAACTGCAGCCAGGACCCCCAGGTGTCCTGTCCCTTTCGGGACGATTTCTACGCCTGCACCTGCCACCTCCAAGACAGGGAGATACGGGCAGTGAGTCCGGACTGGGGAGCTGCCAGGGAGCATTGGGAGGAGAGGGGGGGGGAGCCACTCCTGCTCTCGGCAAGCCCTGAGCCAGCCCCTCCCCTCCCCTGCAGCTGGTGTCCTTGGAGGAGTACGAGCGCTTCCTGGAGCGGCGGTTGGCGGTGGCTGAGAGCCGGGCGCAGAACAGCTACCACTGCCGGACGGCCGACTGCCTCGGGTGGTGTGTCTATGAGGACGACGTGAATGAGTTCCGCTGCCCCATTTGCTGGGCTCTGAACTGCCTCGTCTGCAAGGTGGGCACACACACACACACACACACACGTCTTTGCTTGGGAGTGAGACTCAGTGGGTGGAGCGCTGGCAAGAGGTGGTGGGGGCACCCTGAATTTGCACCCTTCAGCTGCCCTTTCCAGACTCCTCCGACGAGACCGGCAGCCAGAAACACGAGTCCCCCTTTCGTCCCTCCCTGCGTTCCTCCTCTGGCAGGGGAGGCCGGCTCCTAAGGCCACAGGCCCAAGATAGTGGGACCAGGCAGAGCTGTGCCCTGACGGAGGAGCCCACCTGAAGCTTGCTGGCCGGCTGCCACTAAAAGCAGGGGGCAGCTGTTCACCTGCTGTTCCAAGGGGGGGTGGGGAGAGGGGGCCTTGCAAGGTGGAAGGGCCCAGCCTGAAGCTGCCTCTGCCCGCAGGCCATTCACGAGGGCATGAACTGCAAGCAGTACCAGGACCAGTTAAAGTCCCAGGCTCACAACGATACTGCCGCCCGGGAGACTAACGACATGCTGAAGGTGAGACCGGCTCCTTCGCCAAGAAAGGCAACCCCCACCCCTGCTGCATCACGGAGCCTGTGTCTTCTTCGGAGCAGCTGACGGTGTCTTCTGTCCCGGCAGACGCTGGTGCAGCTGGGGGAGGCCATGCATTGCCCCGCGTGCCGCATCGTGGTGCAGAAGAAGGGCGGCTGTGACTGGATCAGATGCCCCGTCTGCAAGACAGAGATCTGCTGGGTGACCAAGGGGCCACGCTGGGGGCCAGGGGTAGGTGTCCTCAGGGGGAGGCAGGACGGGAGGAGAAGGCAAGGAGGGCCAGCCCCGCTTCCCAAAGTCTGCCTGCTAGGGAGAGGGCGAAGGAAGAGCAGGCCAGGCTCCCTGGACATGGGCTTCCTTAGGCTCCTCCCTGCGCCGGTCTTGGGCCTGGCTGTCCTGGGAAGGGCCTGGGGCTTCCGGCTGCGGAGCTCTTGGGCCAATTGGCCATTTCCACAATTTAGAAGGCAGGACTGTGTGTGTCCAGACACACGGACGGGAGCAGCAAACTTGCCTGAACTAAAGCAACACCCGCTCCTCCTCCTTTGTGGCCTGTCTGGTCCTTTGAGCTCTGAAAGGACACAAGCAGCCCAGGAGGCAGGCTCCTCGGGAGCTGTGGAAGGGGTCACCAAACACCTTGCCCAGCAGTCCCCGTCCCCCCCCACGCTCACCCCGAAGGGTCCAGCATAGCTGATGCTGCACTGCCTCTGGCCCGCCTGCCCAGAGGCATCCAGCCCTCCCTTGGCCGGCCTGGGAGTTAGGAGCCAAGCAGGGCCTCTGGCTCTCCCCCGTTGCTTTCTCCCCTCCACCCCAAAGGCTGGCTTTTTTCAGCCAATTGCCAAAGCGCCCCATCAGATCAGCTGCCCCAACGTAGGCAGGCAGGGGCCAGGATGCCCGGGGGAAGGCGGCAGGCTTTGGGAAAGCACCGAGCCCCAGCGTCTCCCAGGGAGGCAGCCGCAGAACGCAAAGGGGCCCGGAGGGAAACTGGAGGGGTCCAACTCCGGTGTCACCGAGGGGCAGGATGAGGGTCGCCTGCCAAGTCACCCCACTCCCCCCTTTCTTGCAGGGCCACGGTGACATCAGCGGGGGCTGCCGGTGCAACGTGAATGGAGAGAGATGCCACCGGCTGTGCCAGAACTGTCACTGAGCGCTTGGCAAGAGGAAGCTGGCAGGCTGACTCCCCCCCCCCCACCTCAACAGCTCCACTGGGCCCAAGCCTGCTTTTTTTTGGGGGGGGGGTGTTTCCCTACTTAACTCTTCCTCCCTTTCCTGCATCCTGGACTTCTAACTACGTGACGGGTAAAAACACGCGGCACTTTACAGCTCTGGCAGGTGCTGTGGGGGCTGCCAGGGCCTGAGGCTCTGCACCCAGCGTGGTCTGCTTTCCACTTCCCTTGCAGCGGAAGGGTCAGAGAACGGGGGTCTCCCCCTCCCTCCAAGGACTTGATTCCAAAGCCCCCACCCCCACCCCAAAAGGCTTTAACTGACACTTCTGGGAGAGGCTGCCGCTCTATGTGGCTGCACAGGGGGGAAGAGAACCTTGCCAATAAAAGGAAAACCCGCCAGCTGTCCATTCTTTTCAGGGCGGAGGAAGAAGGGGGAGGGGTGGGGGAGGGGCAGGAATGGCCGCAACTGAGGCCAGGGGACCTTCGGGCTGAGGGGACGCCTCAAGAAAGCAACCAGCATCTGATTGAAGAAACACGTTTATTGGGTGCCTGCCACCCCTTACCCCAGGGTCCTCTTGCCAAGGCCGCGAGAGGGACTGGACGAATGGTGAGAGACATTAAATAGCAGCCAGCGCACTCGGGAGAAGCGGCCATCCCCCCCCCCTCCCCGGCCAGCCACACGAAGGACGAAGCGCCATCAGCGCTCTGGCACCGGAGGCGGGTCTGCCTCACCCAGAGGTCAGTCACGACGCTGGTAGAACATTTTCCTGCTGAGCGCAACCGAAAACTTGTGCTTTGTCATCAAGTACACAAAGGGAATCACCACGGATGCAATCAGTATTGTCTGAGGGAAGAGAGGAGAGACCGTCACGGAGTCGCCCCGAGGCACCACCCTGCGGCCATGTATGCTCTGCCCCACCAGGGAAGCAGCAGCTGGCCCCATCGGGCCACCACCAGCAGAGAACACGTACCTTGAGGCCTAGCCGCTTGCGGTCATCGAATTCCGGTTCTCCTGCCCATCGTAAGAAGGTGCAGACGTCCTTTGCAACCTGTGACATGGTGGCAGGCGTCCCTGTAAAGGAGCAGAGGCAGGTGACCCCCCAGCCCAGTCAAGGAAAAGGCCCCCTTCCACCCCAAAGGCTACTCACCGTCATCGTACTCCAGAATATCGTTGTAGAGGGGAGGAGCCATGGCTATTGCTTGTCCGGGGAAGTAGGGGTTGTAGTAAAGCCCCTCTCGCATAGTCACGCCACCAGGGGGGTCGCAATAGCCAGTGAGAAGGGAGTAGACGTAGTCCTCACCCCCATGCCTGAAAGGGAAGCGCAGTGAGGGCCCAGCTCCTCCAAGCCTCTCCTCTGCTTGGCAATGCCAACTGCCAAACTCTGCCCAGGCCCCACCTCAGGCAGGATTACCTGGCTTTGAGAATGAGGGTGAGGTCAGGAGGCAGGGCCCCGTTGTTCGCCGCCCGTGCTGCTTCAGCGTTGGGGTAAGGGTTGGGGAAGCGATCAAACAGCTTGCCAGATCGCGTGTACATCTCACCGTTCTCGTTGGGTCCATCCAGCACCTCCACCTAAAGGGCAAGAGGCCGGCCTCGCTTGGCAATCCTCCACCTTCCCCAGAGAAGGGCCAGCTGTCTCTGTCCACCTCCCTCCGTCACCACCTCCGCTCCCCAGGAGCGTGACAAGGCCACCCGCCCCACCTCTTGAAGGCAGGAACCACACGAGGCAGCCCAGAGCAGCACCCACAACATCCGAGCCAGGGTCAGCTCTCTGTGGTCAACATCGACCCCACTGCACGCTTGGCTTACCTCCTCAGCCAGGGCCTTGGCTTCCTCTTCGGTGTGGGTAGCACCCACAAGATTGCGAAAGGCCATGTACTCCATACTGTGGCAAGCGGAGCACACCTGTTTGTAGACCTGGTAGCCACGCCGGACGCTGTGGACACGAATGTTTCCTTCAGGCCAGAAGCCTCGCAAGGCAGTGCTTACTAACAAGCCAGCCATTGAAACAGGAAGCAGGCAGGCAAGCACAGGAACATCCGGTTTCCTCCGGTGGGGGCAATGGCACTGCCACAAGACAGTGAATGGGCATCCTCTGAATTGGCCCGGTGTGCCCAATGCCGGAGGAGGGAGGCAGCTGGGCGAAGCAGAGGACCAAGGGAGCTCAGACATGACTGCAGGCAGGCAGAACACGGGTGCAGGAACAGCAAAGGAAGTGGAGGCAGCTAAAGGACTCCCCAAGTGCCACCGGACCGGGTGGGACATGCAAAGAGAAAGTCTGGCAGCCGCTTCCTAGCCAGGGGGGGCAAAGCAAACTCAAATGGGACCCCAGGCGAGCTCTGTTGGGCTACGGCCCCACCCACCTGCTGTGATCCAGGGCAGTCAGGAGGCCACCGTGGCTCCAGGGGTAACTGGGTGGATGAAGCTCCAATTCCGAGGCATTCACAGATCTCTGGAGGGCCCAGACCAGTCCTGCCCCGCCGACGGTCACAACGCCCAGAGCGCCAAGGGCTACCCGCTTGCCCCGGGACAGGCCCGCCAGGGACGCCACGTTGGCCTGCAAAGAAAGGCAGCTGAGCGGAACTCCCACAAGCGAAAGGGCGCCTCGCTCCTCCAAACCAGGCGGGAAGACCTCCGAGGCCACCGGCCACATACGGCTGGAACTCCCCAAGGGCCAGTCCCTGTTCTCCCTTCAGTCCGCTGCTTTGCTGGATTCCCAAGAATTACGGCTGTCTGCTCAAAATGAACTGCCCCCCCACCCCCCTCAGATCCCCTGCAGAGTCCATGGGAGGGAATCAGGCCAGAGTTTCTCAGCCTTGGCAGCCTGAAGATGGGCGGACTACAACTCCCAGAATGCCCCAGCCTCTAGGGAATCCCGGGAGTTGAAGTCCCCCCATCTCCCAAGCTCTGGGGCAATCCGGACCTCTCAAACGCCGCTCCAGCCAGGGGGGCGGAGGGGCCTCTGGGCCGGGGGGGGGCTGCAGGGGCCTGTCCCGGGGGGGGGGCGGCTGGAGCTGCTTCCCGATCTCCCCCCTGGGGGCTCCTGGAGCCGAAGGGGGGAGCGAAGGGCGGGGCTGCCTCCCTGCCCGCCGGACTCTCCGCAGCGG